AAAACATATATATAGATAAATAGTGGAAAGTCCAATGGAAATACATATATGGACCATAGAGAAGAAGGAGGAAAATCACTATATAACAACTGGACAGTTAGCGGTAATAGAGTGACCTCTACTGACGCTAACATGGCTGATGAAGGAATGGATATTAATCATCATCAAAACTTATCAATTTGTATACGTTATTGTGATCAGGATACAGGTAAGTGTATTATTGTTCTGTATTCACTTAAGGTATTAGATACTGTTAGCAGTCACTAATTCTTATTCGATGTATTTTAGAAAAGATCATTGAGAATGAGAAAATGAAATCTAACTTTGATTTCGATCTATTACGCTACCAGGTCAAATGAAAAATTTTGCCTGAGATTTGACAGGATGTGTATGATATTCTTTTATATTACGACAATAATTTCAAAGAAAAATTTGCTATCGTATAATATTAACTTTTTAGGTGAACCAATAGAATCATTTATTGGTTTATTGAGAATAAAAGACAAAGATGCACAAACAATATTTAATACAATTGCTAAAGAATTAGAAGATAAAAATATTGATTTGAGAAAAATTCGTTTTACTGGTTTTGATGGAGCATCCGTGTTCAGTGGAGAGTTTAATGGCGTATCTGCAAAATTTTGTCAAACATATTCAAATTCCATATTATTTATTCATTGTCGTTGCCACGTATTACAGTTATGCTTATTAACAGCATGTGAAGATATACCTGAAGTTAAAGAATGTTTATCAACATTAAAATCTTTAATAAATTTTATTAATCGATCATCTATTAGATTGTCACGTTTCAATGATATTCAAACATTATTACAATGTTCACAAATAAAATTAGTTCAACCAGGTGATACACGATGGTTATCATATTTTCGTTCTATTAATGTTATTCTTCGTTGTTATGAACCATTAATAATTACACTGGAACATATATCTAATGAAAGAGATGAAGAAAGTCCAACTGCAGCTGGTCTACTTTCAATTTTAGGAAATCAATTAACAATATTTCTATTACATAGTTTAGAACCAGTTCTTGAAGCACTTGCAATATTATCAAAGTGTATACAAACAAAAAATGCTGATTTTAGTCTACTTGAACAATCGATGCTTGGAGTATTACTACGATTAGAAGAATTAAAAGATATTAACATTAATGAGTATAAAAAAATATTGGAGATTATTGATAAAATTAAAATATCATTCAATGATCATGCCCATGTTACACGTGTAAAAACTCGAACAAATGAAATTAGCATAGAACAACAATTTAATGATAAAATAGTCAAGTTTATTGATTCAATTATATTTAATATAAAAGCTCGATTTGAAACAAATGTATTAAAATTGTTAAATTGTTTTCGTATATTTGATGTTAATGAAGTATTAGATGAGCCACAATATGGTGTTCGAGAAATTAACATGATAAAACAACAGTATCCTAATGACTTTAATGATGATTTATTAAACGAATGGAAAGTATTTCGAAAATATTTATTTATAAAAAAACAAGAGAAATCAACAGCTGTTTTATCACAACGAGAAAATTGTATTGATTTGGTTAAAAAAGGAATGTTACGAAAAATGTACCCACAATTATCACTAGCAGCTGAAATATTTTTATGCGCGCCAATTAGTACAGCGACAGTAGAACGTGACTTCAGTACAATGAATAGAATATTAACTGATTTACGAAATCGTTTAACAACAGACCATTTACAAAAATTAATGAAAATTTCAATAGAAGGACCATCTGATCTAGATAATGATTTAAAGAATTTAATTATTGATTGCTGGAAAAGAAAAAAAGTGAGAAGAATTTCAGTTTAGTATAGACTTTTTCTCAAAGTGTTTTGTTTGTTTCTTTTCATATTTTTTCTTCTATAATGTGTTGATAATAAAAGAAAAGTTTAATTGTGCTATTAAATTAAGTAAATAAAAGTTTATTTTTTTGTTATATAGTAAAACTTTTTGTATAACAGTCCTTTCGAAAATTACGCTTGCCCACCCGGAAACTACAATTGCCCACTCGGGAAATAAAACCTGGATAAAACACTGGATAGAACTTGGATTGTTGGTGCATAGAATGTGATTGGGCGATATTTTGGCAGCAAAACAGAAAAAAAGGGACAGGCAAATTTATTAAACGATATTTTAGAAGTTCTTATAAGATTAATGAAAACTCCTGGAATTTTGTGTACAGGAGGATAATACCTAAACAGTTATAGTAGAAAATCTAGAAATTGGAAGTCTTACAAATTGAAATGCGAAAGTCAATATTATTAAGAAAATCGATAAAAATAAATCATTATAACAAATTATCAAAAATTCTGTTAGTATTTTGATTATGTGTTTATAGCATCATCAAAGCGCATGACTGAGAAGAAAACAACTAATAATCAATGATTATGATTAATCAAGAATCATCTACCAGATTTTAGGCGATATATAATAAGAACAATTGGTAGGAATGAATGGTTTTCTATTATGGAAAAATTACGACGATATTCCATGAAACGCAGTTTCTTTCAAAGTTTATATAAGACTTATCCATTTTTCAACAAAAGTAGAAAATCTTGTCATAGATTGACATTAATCTATATCGCAATCGAAAACTCATCAATTTTGACGAAAAACTTGATTGCATCAAGGGATCTGATGCGCGTCTATTTGGGATTGAAGAGGCATAATAACTTGCGTAGTATTGAAGACTTGTAAGACGTTTTTCGATATGTCATAATGTCAAACTGTGTGTTGTATCAAAACATAATCCATCATTACTTACTTTAAATTGTAACTTATATTATTAGATATAATATTTCAAGTTATTGCAGTTTCAAATAATTGGCTTGATGGATGTAAGTCAATTGAACGAGTATCTGCTGTTATCAAAAAGTTCATTTTAGGAAATTGAAAAGTAAACAAATAGCTGAGTGGATAACTTTAAGTATCATTCTTTTAATATTTAAAATTCTTTACTCCCTCACACCCACATCTGTCCCCGCGTTTTGTAATCTCTAATAAGTAGACACCACCAGTTGTTTCAAATCTAATCCTCATTTTGAGTCAAACCTGAAGTAACAAACTGTTAGAATGCAGAGGTTTATTTTAATCAAATGTTAGCAATCCCCAGTTATAAGATTTTGCAAAGGAAAAAAATCCACTCGACAAAGTTCGCAAAGTCTCGTGACAATCGCATGTTTCTTTTTATTTTCTACTGATGGTAATTTTGACATTGCCAACTGATAATGTAACATTTTCAAATTTAATACTTTTATCAAACATTTTACAACATCCTTGAACATTGTTGACGGTGCAACAATAAGTATTCTCCGGGCAACATTTACCAAAACAGCAGCAAATCGGATAATCATTTGTGCAACATTGATCTGGAATGCCTGGACAACAAATCGAATTATATTTTGATGGACAGCAACCTTCTCCACAACATTTTGAATCGGGATATTGATTTTCACAATCATATTAAGTACATGGCTGACCATTTGTGAAAACCAAACAACCAACTAAAACCAACAAAGCAATGAATGCTTGGTATCGTCTCATTGTTTTTTAAACTGAAATTTAAGTATAGAACATAAAAGTTTGTAGCTTCTACAAGACCCTAGTCTATATTTACTTGTGTTAATAGATTAATGCTTCAATAAAAAGCTTGTTTTTGACAGTTTGATTTCATTGAATGACAGGGTGCGGTTTCATGATATTTATACTTGTATGTTTCTGCAGCATTGCTTCTTGTTCTTGTTCAACACAAATCAAAACGCATACATGCTAACATTAGCAAATTATCAAATGCAAATCTTCTCTTTTCTTTAAATATCTTCTGTTCTATTCTTGGACTTAGACGCATACTTCCTTTTCGAAAAAAGGATAATATTACATCTTGAGCCGTTGTTTCGTTTGTGATTAAATATAAAAAGAAACACATTTTAAGCTCTTGTCTTTCAAGTATGTTTCTTGAAATCAGATCTCCCTTTTTTCTTTTATTACGAACTCTCTAAACTTTTTGCGTCGTACTTTTTTACGTCGTACTTTTGCGTCGCAAATCTTAGTCTGACACGTTCAGTGAGGGTATGGGTGTGAGTGTGAATCTTTTCTTTATGCACACATACCCACAGCCACACCTACTGCACCACGCCCACAACTGCATTCACATCGACACCACACCTAGCACACCACGTTCACACCCCAGATCAATTGTAGCCAGTTGCGGTCAATTCAAGACGAATTCTAGATCAATTCCAGTCTATTCCAAGGTTAGAATTGTAATTGGTACATCCCTACTCAATATACTTCAATAACTCTTTCTTGAACGAAACAGTACGTTTGAGATACAGAACTCAGTCGAGTACACACTTCATATGCTGAAGGCATTACATCCTGCACGTTCTCTTTCGGTTATAAATCAATGCAGAATATTCTATTGCCAATCCGTTTTTATAATGAAAATAAAGGCAAGATGTTGCTGAATTAACCGGATCGCGTTGCGAAACGAAGCAACCAACCAAAAGAAAAAGAGAAAGGAAGTCAGAATAATATATCATATAATGCGTAAGAAAAGAGAACAAAGAAGAGAGAAGTGAGTTTATCAAGGACCAAGTGATTGTCACTGGTAGAGAAGAGACGGATAAATAAATAAAGATATAGACGAGAGCTTTTGCAGAAAGTGAATTTTAGTAATAGATTAACATTCTGTTAATTGTTCTTTTCCCACAAAACGTCGTACGACACCAGTTGAACACGAAAGTCTTCGATCCTTAACCCATTGAGAATACATATGAAAACATGGATTCGAATCCAAATCTCGTACGCAGCTGCCGTGTGTACTTGCAATCAATGCATTGTGATCATTCAAAACTTGGCTGACAACACCAAAAGTTGACCAGCCTGTTCTGACAATATCGTCAGCCATAGACAGTAACCAAATAGTGGCCAATGTTGTAATTCGCCAATGTGGCAGATGTCTCGCCTGTTCAGTATTGATTTCTTCGTCAGGATCCACCCAGAGAACGTCCGCGCGCGTTCCATCCGATAGAAGAGCTAATGAGACAGCAGCTAACTTTCGAAAGGCATACGAATCACTTCCTATGAAAAAGGTTATACTCATGTTTCTCTTTTTCACTGGTCGGAGAAGGGCAGCCATCTCAGCACACGCGATTATACTCTTTTGGCAGTCCATGTCTTGACAGAAACCAGATTCTGTACGCGCCTGAATACCGACAACATAGGAGCCGGCAAATTTCACATGCATGGAATTAACCAGTTCTCGACTGTCACTTGGGAGTTTGAAGACAAAAGATGATAACTGTGCCATTGTGTGACCGAAAATGAAACTTCCTTCGCCGTAAATACGAGATTGAAAGAAAGGATTGTTTAATAAGAGAACACCGAAGTATTGATTCGACGATAATCGAATAATTGGCGATTCCCATATACCGTTGTTGAGTTTACTGCATAGTAAAGCAATCATGAGATCATCTTTGTCATTGGATAAAGATGGTCCTTTCAAGTCGAGATAAGGACTGTTCAAATAAGCGCTGCTTGTTTTGTTGAATTGCAAATGCCAATCAATGCTGTCACTCAGCACATCAGTGAATTTCAGCTCATCGTCTTCGATTAACAATGCTCGGTCAGTTAGCATGGCTAACAGAAGCGTGCTCATCATGGCCAGAAAACGATTGCCCCAACCGTCTACACACAAAAAATGAGATATGCCTAGGATCCAGGAATTCGCAATTCAAGGAAATTCAAGGAATTCAACAAAGATACAGAAGAAAAGAAGTTATAAGTCTAAACTATGATGGAATTCTGGAAATTCATGGAAATCAATCAATTGAAGAAATCAAAGAAAATTCTAGAAATTCAAGAAATGTACATACTAAAGAGAGTTATTAGTCTACTCTAGGATGGAATTCAAGAAAATCAAGGAATTCATGAAATTATACGATATGTTAAATTTCTTGAATTCCATGATTGTTTCAAGCAATACGCTTTAGGTTAAATGGATGTGTTGAATCCCTTGAATTGCTTAAATTTTCTTGAATTGAGAAGTTTTGGATCCTAGGTACT